CGAATTCAAGAGTGACATTTGGTATTGTTGGTTAGGTTACATCCGTCACCAAACTGGATTCTTCTCCAAAAAATCTCTCTCACACCAACGGTTCGTATTCGTTTCCTTTTCCGCAGTTGAAGATACAAATATCCGGCCAAAATTACATTACAAAATTGATAATGCCTCACAGCAGAATTCATTTTGAATTACCAACGCTGTAAAATCAACGCTGTCAATGCACGCTGTTTTACGACACGTTACGGCGATCGTAATTTCACAAAATACCTTAACGTTAAGTTCACTTCACGTCACTTCACGTCCCGTCGCGTCCTGTTACGTTAAGTTCATCGTAATCCCGGCTTTAGCTCGGAAGCCAAACTTCGAATTCAAATCGATATAACAACTCGTTTACAAATAATTGAAATCGGTATCGTGGCAACTCGCCACGATACCAGGCGTCGCTTTTCGAACGCGGGCGTAACATTATGTAACTTGTAACTTCTGTGTTATACGTATAACATTTACATTTGATGTTTATTGGGTATCTGGTATCTAGGGTATCTGGCATAACATATCCATTCAACAATAAAGAAAACATCCAATATCATTGATCATTATTTCTTTATTTGGTAAATTACATAACAAACGTTGCCTTATATTGTTTTATACATATAAATATGTATTTTAATATAAGTAATCTTTTCGTACATTTTGCAGTAAGTTTTTTTTATTAGGGGATAATTAAGGCATAATACGAATATCAGAGCAAGTTTTGAAGGTTTCTTGAGGTCCGCAACCCATCTTATGAGTACCATCTTCACACGTGCCCCAATTATTTCCAGCAATATATTCCCATCTAGAAATTAAATGAATGGAAATAAAAACTTAAAAAAGAGAAAAATTGGTATTTATTTACATTAGGGGACACCTCGCCGAAGATCTTAACCTTGACATATATTGTCAAGGTCTATGTCCTGAGTGACCTTCAGAAGGTTTTAATCGGGGGAAATCGTTCATTAAAAAGTTATTAACCACAAAAGTTTGATAATTTTGCATGCAGTTCCCATGCAAGTATCCACGCGAATCGAGGTTCAACCCACACCAATGTGTGTAATTCACGGCGTAATCTACCGCGTGGGGGGGGGGGGGGGAGCGGTGAACCTCGCTTTGCGGGAAGAATTATATGCGTGGATCCAGTGGGTTTCGCCCCCCCTCCCCTGCAGGGGGCTCCACTACGATAAATACATTGGTACAGGTACATAGAATACACTTAAATATCTTAAGGTAGCGCTTATGCTATTGTACTCGTATACCTCTCATGACTTTGTTTACCTTTGGGATCGACTGTCTATGCTCTTTAGTCGTAATGTATAATATTCTACATGAGTATCATGCGTCTGTACGAATTTTTAGTTATTTGCGACGACAACGTTGCATTTGTCGAATTTTTGATTGCGAAGGGTATTTTTGCGCATGAAATTAAATATCCGAAATGTGTGTCAATAGTAAAACTTACACCGAATTTGTCTAATTGTAAATTTCAATATCATTGCCATGCAACATATTATAAAGTACTTCATAAGAAGAGACGCAAGCAATGGTGTAATTTCAAAGTGAGTGCTTTAACTGGAACATGGTTTGCACAAAGCCGACTACCAATAGCGATTGCATGTCGTTTTATCGCTTATTTCCTTTTAATCCGTTCACCGCGACAACGTTTTCTTGAGCAAGAACTTGGAATATACTCACGTACAGTTGTAGATTGGATTCACTTTTGTCGAGAAGTATGCTACTTACTTTACAATTGTTTTATAGTGACATTGCTTTAATGCAGTGCTCGGAATTATTTGCACTTCTAGCCGAATTTTTGAGACAAACGCGTACTTTTGTCCCCTTGCCGCGCGCACTCCAGCGACGGTCAGTTTACTTCACGATAGTGGGGCATGTCTCAGGAGCGGCCCTGTTTCAAAAGCAACCAGAAAGAAACCTGAGAGCGGCCACGCCGGCGCGGCGGTTAACTTGTTACTGTTTCGCTAGGCTATCTGAAATTTCAAGGATTAAATTTCCGAGAATTTCAAACTTCAAATCGCGAAACTCGCAAATCTCGAAAACTGACAAAGTATCAGGAGAACATGATCAGCAAAGAGGTGGCACTATCTAAAGTTCCAAGAATTGGATTTCCGAGAATTTTCACATTCAAATCGCGAAAATCGAGAATTTTTCTTTTACCTAAATTTTCTCCCAAGCATAGTTTTTAAATTATAAAAAGAAATAGTTACGACATATTTTTGACTGCCAGTGCGCACGGCGCAACGCGCAGAGGTTACTTCTTGCGGTAGTAATACTGTGGTATTATCATAGTTCCTCCAACATTTTTGAGAAACTGTTATAATGATACATGTTTATCCAATTTATTCTAAAAATACTTCTTATTTAACTATAATAATTGTAATTGTAAACCCTACTTAAAAGATTCGATAGAATTAGATAAGAAAAAGTCTATACATATAATTCTATCGTGTTCTTTATAAATATCCGATTTGTTGTCAGAAATTTTTGATAAATGTTCTATTATTTTTTATAATATTAACATATAATCTAGTAATCGTTTTCAATCGATGTGAATCTCATTGTATTTTATCACCATACACCGTACACTACACACCACACACCACACACACGCACACGCACACGCACACGCACACGCACACGCACACGCACACGCACACGCACACGCACACGCACACGCGATATATGGTGTGTGGTGATAAAATACAATCAGATTGATATTACATGATTTACTCAATAACGAATAGCTATAGACTAAACGAATAGACCTATGAAACAAATTTGATTCAATACAGTGCACTATAAGCTATGTTGTAGCCCACAACCACAACCACTAATACTAGCTTAATCCTCATTCTCCTAGAATTCTCCTAGACCATATATCTCCTAGGACGCGGTAGCGAGAGGTGGAGTCACGTCGCTCGTAACTCAATGCGTGACTCCACCTCTCGCTACTGTATCCTAGGAGATATAAACAAATAAATCATTTTGCATGCTTGCCAGGTCTGGCCTTTCGCTCCTTGTGCGCTCATTCGGCCAGACGTTTTTATCAATTACGCGATAACTATTGCTAATTTTGCACAACTGTACATGGCTTTTCTTCTCAGTTTAACCCAATGTGCCGTAATTTTTAGTTTGGCTACAAACGAGTCTGACACCCTGTATAAAGTACGTATTTGGACAAATGAAGTGTTAGAGATATCTATACCCATACATTATACTTTTATGATATATTACATGTAAAATAAATCCATTGATCAAAACTCATATTATCAGCTGCTCTTTTTAGTGTTTTCTCTGGGATTTGAACAAAAATATATTTCTATCTACCTGAGTACACAGTGCTCACACGTAAGATCCTGTGGCAAGAAAGCATTCATTTTATAATCTCCTCTGTTAGGACTTTGTAGTACATATTTGTTTTTGCCATCCGCCATTTTCAATGGATATTTGGCAAAACATTCTTCGGTTTCTAATTCCTTGCTATGGTTTAGAGGGCAAATTGAATACTGGAAGTGACCCATATGATTTGCAGTAAGTTTAGCCACTAGTTCAATTATTTGTCCTGTTTTATATCTACAAATATAAAGTACTACATAAGAATTATTACGATATAAGAAAAATTAATACTATTTTTTAAGAATTGAAAAGAAAATAAATACTGAATAGAATAAAATAATTAGTTTACTCATAAAAAATAAGTACTTATTGTTAGCTACTTTTAATAGTACATGGTCATGTATACACAATACACGCACGTACACACGCACACACGCACATAAGTACGCGCGCACGCGCTTATTTTCCTAAAAATGTTTTTGACGCTTTAAAACATTTTAAACACACTGGCATTGAAAATTGCAATATAATTTTTTTCACGAAAACAAAGCTCCCTCATGAGGATGCAATATCAATAATTGAGAATAAAAAGAAAGAGAAAATTTTTAAAATGGATAAGAATCTTGACTTATACACTTATACACTTACTAATACTTATGAAAATATATATTATTAACTTAGATTATGCAGTTTTTTTATATTTATTGGGGTTTTAATTAGTATTTCCCTGTTTGTTACAAATTTAACAATTTGTATTACTAAATAACTTTTGAAAAGTACACTTACGTTTTAACAATGGTACCAATTCCATATGTTCCACCATTTTCATTTGGTCTGGGCTGTGGCATTTTATAATCATCGCCACAGAGGCCGCATTTACCATCGTTATTTATTTGTTCCTGTACGAAAAAAGTTTCAATTAAATATTTCAGCAATGTAGAAAATTGCATGACAACTACTGGCGCTAAATAATTCTTTACGTTAAATATTTCAGGTCAAAAGAATCCTATAGCAATCTTATAGTTGATCTCTGATTGAAAAGTGTCCTCTTGCAAGGGCGTCTACAGGATTTTCCAGGGGGGGGGGGGGCATAACGTAAAATATCACTTCCGTTTGATTCAAATGCTTTGATATTTTTATAGGTTTTAGTATTAAAGCTTTCTCACCGCGACAAGAAAAATGTAAATCGAGAAACGGTTTTGCATTTTTCTTTTATATTTTTGTATTTTTTATTTTAAAAAATTTTGAATTTTTTATAGTAACTTATAAAACTTTAATTGAAAGAGAAAGATCAATTCTCTTTGGTTCTGGCCGAGTTGGCCTATAACTTTGTAAATTTCTTTTAATCATTTGCAATCATTTGCTTCTTGATTTAGACATGTAACCATGTTTTTACCTTCTATAATGTACTGAAAGATCTTTTCACTGTTGCTATTGTAACTGACAACAATTATAAACGCCATCCAATCAAACATTATATAATTTAATTATTTGGATATTATATTTCATTAGAAAAAAAACATTTTTATCTTCTCTACAAAAGTATCTTCTCTACAAAAGTAATGGTATCATCAAATGGCGCAAACTAAAATGAATATTTATACAAACTAGATACTTTATTATTTTTGATATTAAAATGTTATAACTAAACAATCGAACATAAAATTTTATCGGAAGAAATAAAAGAAATAATAACATAACGAGACAAATTTTTTATTCTTATTTAATAAAAATATAATGCAAACAAATTTCATACAAATAAATATTTTATTGTATTATATTATAAAAGATGGCCCTTTTCTAATTTAATTGTTGGATACATGTAAGTATACAATCTAAACTTACAATTAATTCTAATCCTTATTTCATAAATCACACGCGCGCGCGGAAACACACACGCATGCACAAAAAAAAGAGAGAGTTTAGTACTTGTAAGGAAGGAGGAAAAGTATAATTAACATTTGGTTTAGCAGCGCCAAGTTTTTTAAATAAACAATAATATAATTAGAAAAGGCGCTCTTTTAATAAAATATTTAGTTTTGTTTGCATTATTGAATAAGTGTCTTGTTGGAGGTTAATCGTGTTTTTAAGTTTCTTAATGAAAAACATCTCAGCAATCTCTCTCTTTCTGTAATGTGGTTCTTTATGCCTAATATTATAGGGTTGGCTCAATCGAAATCATGGTTGAGACCAGTTTGGTGTTTGCTGACGACAGAATGATTAACTATTTGTTTTTTGATATCATTATGAAGTTCCTTAATCCTCGTTTCAATGTGTCTTTTTGTCTGGCCAATATAGGATGCATCACAATCGACACAATTTTCAGCCAAGTCTTCATAAGTGTAGCGTAATCATGCCCATAGTTTTTTAAAATTGAGTTGGAAAACCATCCTCTCAATGAAACACCATTTTTTCAGTCAAGGTGTATAAAAATAAGTTTTTTGGAAATGGTAAGTCGCCAGTGATGAAAAAGAATTAAATTACGATGTTTTTACACATAAAAGATGGCTGGACGTTTGCATCTAACATTAATAAACTGTCCATAAAACATGATGAAATAATGGTGTCTTTAGACGTAACTTTTCTTTACACCAATGTTCCAAAAGACCTCATAATTAAAGGCATAGAAAAGAGATGGGATGAAATTTCGACAGCAACTAAACTTGTAAGTCTATCTCAATTTTTACACACAATTGAACTTATCCTAGAATCAAGTAGCTTTTCGTTCAATAACCGGTTTTATGAACAGATCTTTGGTACTCCTATGGGATCTCCGTTGTCCCCCATACTAGCCGACATAATCATGGATGACTTGGAAAGTCATGTCGACTCAACTTAAACTGAGCAGTCTCTGTCTGGGCTGTTGCATGATCGGACGTATGTCAGTCAATGTGCGGAGTGAAAAATTGATTTCTTCATTTGAATGGATATTGATTAATTTAAAAAAAAATTTTTTGTACACTACGACCGCTTAATTCCTGTAAGTTAGTTCATCTAAGTTTCTTTTTCGAATCTGATTTACTGTTATTAATTGTCACTAAATATTTTTTGTAGATTTTTGCTGTAACAATTGATAGGTGTAACGTAAAGTACTTGAAAAGGACCAGTATTACTGGTCGAAACGTCGTAATTTTATTCAATGAAATAAAAAAAGTTCTGCCAGCTTAAGTCGTTTTAATTCTTAATTGCATTGTTTAATAGGTTTTTAGTTACATTTTTAATTTTTAATTTTTAATATTTTCAGAACATGTTAAATTAACAGTTTGATCATTTTGGCAACCCACAGTGACATATAATAATAATCTTGCAGATAACGTTGTTATTATATGTCGAGTGTGTGGCCAACTTATCATGAAAAAAGTGACCATCTTACTCAAACTGTGAGGAAAAGATGGCCATAGTACCTATCATAAATAAATAGTGAAAATAAAAATACAAATTACAGGTCAAATTTACGATTTATTAGTAAGAATATTCTTAAAAGTCGCCAGAAGTAATTAACAACATCAGTGATTTATATTGACCGTATCTGGCAATTTTTATAATACAGAAAATTTATTGCGAACAATATTACCTCAGCCAGGGTTTGAACCTGGACCTCCTTAAATAATAAAATAAAGTTTAAATATCGGGAGTTACATCTACCCAATATAACACGTACAAAGTTTGATTAATGTCAAAATTAAAATATAATGGATAGTCGTCGAGAATTAAAATTAGACACAAACTTGAGTCAAACCATTAAAATTGTAAAAATTTAAGTGTTAAATTGTTGTAAGTTGACAGGAATTTGGTCAAGAGATAAAAATGAGAATAAAATCAGTAATGAAGTTAAAATACGTAGAACCATGAAATAAGTAAAACTAAATTAATTAATTAATTAATTAATTAAGTTTTACTAATCAAACTTTGCTTAGGTCCTGGATGATTAAATTATATAAATCACCCAGGAGATCCGTGTCATTCTGCAAATTGAAACTGTTAGTTTGGCGTTTAATACAAATCATTTCCGAGATGAGACGCCGATAAAGAAAAGATTCTTCACCCAAGACTTCAACATTATCCCAATCAAATTCATGGCCGGAGTGTCTATGTTCGGTAATGACAGATAATTGTTTAGTGTTTCTATTAATTTAGTTTTACTTATTTTATGGTTTTACCTCTTTTAACTTTGTTACTGACTTTATTCCCATTTTTATCTCTTGACCAAACACCTGTCAATTTATAACAATTTAACACTTTAATTTTTACAATTTTAATGGTTTGACTCAAGTTTGTTTGACTAACTTTAATTCTCGACGATTATCCATTATATTTTAATTTTGACATTAATCAAGCTTTGTACGTGTTATATTGGATAGATGCGACTCCCGATATTCAAACTTTATTTTATTATTTTTTATTTTTTACTTTTACAATTTCAAATTTATTTATTCTCTCAATTTTTATTTTTTAGTTTTGCTGACTTAATTTTTTATCTTTACAATTTTATATTTTATTTTAATTCATGTTTTAATTATTATGACAATTGCTGATATATTGGGACACAAATTGAATTTTGCGCATTTTTTGTTGTTCGGTAAGTTGCGACACATGACCAATTTTACCTTGTCATGTTTACCACACATGTTCGATAATGCTGTGTCACAGTCGTGTTAATACCTTTGTAACGGATTCATCCCTCTATCGACCTGAGTCTTTCAGTCCTCTTTATGTCTGGGACCATTTAGAGATACACTGGGATTATCGCTGATAGAGGAATGATTCTCAAATCATATACCACTCTGATCCCTTAAGTTACGCTTTAGTCGATTTAAACGAGGTAACTGATTATTATTATTCTACCAATCTATATCAAAAGTATTGCATTCACATCCTGTATTCTCGATTGTTTTATTGTAGGTAGTCATACTGAGGAAGACCCGAAGTGGGGTCGAAACGTTTATATTAAAGAGAAATTTTGTTTCTAAATTGTGAGAACCGTTTTCCGTTCATTTCTAGCTCACATTGGCATTCTTCCCTTTCTACATATTTTCTTTTTGGGAGCCTTCACAACATTTAGGAATATAGTTAAAAAGATTAACAAATTTGCAGGAAAATAAGGATAGTTCTTAATTTTATGTTTAAGAAGACACACTTACAAATAAACCACCGCAATAATTTCCATCATCGTCATAATTGATAGGTGTTTTGAATCCCTTCCTCCAAGCACTTCCTCTATTCACAGGTTCCATAAGCATTCCATGTCCATAGATTTCTTCGAAAAAAGAAATCGTAAGAGCAAAGATGAATAAACCGTTGGCGTATGCCATAATTTTTCGTATTCTTTTTTGTTACAATTAAACGCAAAGCCGTCACGTTTAAATGTACATTAAATGGAATTTCCTCACTTTTTATAAGATTGTATGATAAGAGATAAGAAAGTTATTTTATGATAATTAGCTTATGATAAGATAAGCGATATTTCAGAAAAATAACCTGTTCAAATTCATTCATCTTGAAACATTAATTCCTTTACGCTTCATTTATCGGAAATTGCTGAATAATTAGAACATAAACATACATATGTAAAACAGAAAAATAAATTTTATAATTCAATATCAATATTAGAGTGTTTTGACATTTTTTAGCAAAACAAGAACGACATAAAGATAAAATACGTGTGTTGTAGGAGTTGCGGGGAGTTTATTTCCACACTCTAGTTTCGTCAATCGTTTATTAACTATATACACAAAGTTGTTTAACGCTATGAACTTTAACACACTATATGTCGCGGTAGGGGAGATCCAATCTGAGCGAGGACTCGGCCTCTATGTTTTATACAAGAACTCGGTCTCTATGTAATTCGCGAGCTTTGAAATATGCTATTTCACGATGTGCTAGCACATACTAAACTTGACCAGAGAGACGATCGATCCAATAAACAACAAAAGACGATCACATATTGATTATCGCGTCTCCCTTAACGACACCGGTAGCAACGCTTCGCGCTGGGTGCTATCCTTCGCTTCCCATATAGGACTTGCCAGACTTAACAACAGGGCCAATGCTTGGCCCGATACATGGTAACCGATAATTGGCCAA